ATTATTTATAGGAAGATGATATTATTTATAGGATTTCTATAAAAAATTTACTTTAATTTTATTCTTTCTCAAAAATATAATAAAACATAAATCATTGAGAAAGAATAACGTTATATATGGTGAATTTTCTAACTTCTTCATATTTGAATCTAGTTTTTACATATGTTGATCGTTCGAAGTTTGGAGCTTCAAGAAAACATGTACATTTTTTTCAAATGAAAATCATAAAGGATTAATTTGCTAAATATAATAAGAAAACTCATTCTGTTTCAAAAACATAAACGAAAAATGTAAATATAACAATAGAAAATACTATGTGATCTTGTAGTGACTGCGAGAGACCAGCTCCAAAAAGATAGGGGGAAGCAACATCAATCCTAACTACTAACGAATAATTATGCTTTTTAATGTCATTTCCACATTCAATAAGGATAGATTTTGTTTTGCCATTGCTAGTAGTGTTGTTCTTATATTTCATGTTGTAACCGTTCATCCGTTTTAAATTGAATGCCTTTTTTTAAAAAAAAACTGTCTATGATTTAAATACGACGCTTCAACCTTTAAAAAAACCAGTTCTCAAAGAAACAATCCAAACTTTCTTCCATGCAATTGTGTTTATATCATAAATACAGAGTTTATTCTATATGTTTCTAACAAGTAGAGATGGTTGTTTACCACCGCAATGATCGGAGTGATCCATAAAAATCATAGAGCTTTCAGTGCGGTGGTCAACAATAATCTCTACTTGTTAAACACATATTGGATGAATTATGTGCTTTTGATATAAACTCAAAATTTTGGAAGAAACCGGAGATTGTATATGTGAAAATTGATTATGATGGAGGTTGGGGCGTTGCGTCTGTAAAAGAAAGATGTATTGTTATTAGAGCTTTGTTTTTCCGATCCATGTGTGAGACTACGGCGTTTTACACAAGTCGCATGTCTACAAATATGATTGAATTGGTTTAGAAAAAGAATTCTAGCGATTCTTATAGCGATAATGCTCGCCTTCAAAAGTTAATGTTGTTTACATTTTATATTACATTCGTATAATTTTCTTTATTACATGAAACAACTTAAAAGTAAATAACTTAACTTTAGTTGAAAATATAGTCAATTTGTTTTTCAACTCAATAGTCAATAGCATTTTAGTTTTAAAAATTACCAAACATATCAATCAAAACTTTGAAAACTTGTTATTACTATTTGATGATAATAAGTTATATTAAAACCTTACAAATGAGTCAAAATTTTCAACTTATTTATCACTTATATATTAATAATAGAGGATCAGATGAAATTATCTCATCACTTGGGTATATTATTTTCGGCTAATAATTTTATTGGTTTCAAATCGAGATTAAAGAGCTAAAAAACAAAAAATTTTGAAAAATAAATTATTACATAAGCAAATGTACGTGCTATATAATGAAAAAGATACATCAAAAAAGATGAAGTTAGTGATGCTTTGGATAGACATGCCTTACTTTGTTATATTCTTTCTCCATATTAGTATTGCTTTGATGTGATACATAGAGTGTGTGTGTGTGATATTTCTTGGCTAAATCTACAAATTGCACATCGCGTGACAAAATCTGATGTTTCCAGTAATTCAATTTTTTTTCACAATCTAATATCAAACACTTTGTATCACACTCATTTAAATACCGTACGAAAGAGATAAGATTATTACTGATAAGAATCGACCCCAAATAACACCGCATAAAATCATCGCGATCCTTCGTTGTTATCCACCATTCGCGCTGCTTGGAAAAAAATATAATCAATACCATCGAAATATATTTGAGTAAGAATCATTGATGTTGTGACGAATCCACAATTAATGAATAACATCATCTAACTTTTTAGAAAAACGTTTTGGTGTCAAGATTACCAAAAACTTATTCA